GGGGGGGGGGCATAAAGTGGTCATGCAGATCACCAAAATGCGATAAACCCAACCCCTCGCGTGGTCACAGTGTGGCCACACGCAGTGCAAACATTTTACGACCACTGCGATGCTCCACCTGACTGACGTCGTTGAGGGAAGGGTTTTGTTACCACCATATGGTACTGGCCGATTCCAGAATAAAGTGACGAGTCAAATGAAGGATGGTTCCCGATAGTAAAAGATGCAAGATTTATAATATAAATAGAAACAAGACCAATGTGACACCCTTAATCATTTTCATGAAAAAGATACCAACATGAAACATAAGGGCTTTTCCCCAGTGCCTGGTCACGCAGACACAACCTATATAAGCCAATCAAACGGTTGAAAGAAAAACCTTTATTGATCTTAAAATAAAAACTACACGCAATAATAGTCGGGAAAAAAAATAGTTTACGATAACGAGACTCTTATCCCCCCAACCATTCTTCAGGTCTACGAGGAACGATCTGAAAATTGATGGACAGTTGGACACGCGACTAAAGCACCTGAACGCGTTCAACGTAAGTCAGAGGAAATCTCGTGGAGTAGAAAGTGCGAAGGCCGGCGGCCTCGGCAGCATCGGCGCACAGCGGGCAGTCTGTCTCGCCCTCGGGGTGCCTGAAAAACAGGCGGCCTCTGAGCGCCTCCGATCCAGGTTCCTCGCCCTCGCAGTCGCACAGCTCCAGTCGGAGCACCACGTGCAGGCTGGTAGGGGCACGGCGCACCAGGTCCTGCAGCACCGCGACCAGCTGCGTCACCTCCTCGGAGCCCCAGGTCGCTGCTGCACAAGACGCAATGAGCTTGGCACGACCACACACTCAAGACTCCAGCTCGATAGCACAATCACGGGTCTCACCTCCGGACCGACCCTCGTCGGAGTCACGCTTCGGCTGGTACTCGGCGACGACGAGGAGCTCGAGGGTGGGGATGGTGGCGGGGGTCAGGCCGCGGAGCACCTCGACTGCGGGCAGCTTGTCGAAGACGGCGAGCGAGCGCAGCCGCGGCAGGCGCGCCAGACACGACCCGAGGCACGACAGGTGACCCGCGTGCACGCTGCTCAGCAGCACGAGGTCCTGGACGTCGGTCAGCTTGCCAGCCGCCAGGGCCTCCAGCGTCTTGTCGCGCCAGCCCGCGAGCTCCAGGCGCCGGAGCGGGCCCGGCAGCGACCTCAGCACGTTCTCCACCTGAGGACACCGAGCAGTCAGGGCGGAGCTGGGCTGGGGCGGGGAGGGCTGCTGACAATCCGCTGTGTCGACCGATTCGCGTACCCACCTCCTCATTCGTCCCTTGTCGAGCGTACGGGGCGGGCGCGCCGGTTTCGATCGCCAGCTCCTTCAGGCCCCAGATCCGCCGCAGCTTGGAGATCATGTCGAGGTCGGCCACCAGGTCCATGCGGACGACGTTGCTGGTGCAGGAGTCCACGAGGGACACGAGCTCTCTGGAGCCCAGCAGCGCGAGGCAGCGTATCTGCCCGCTGCGAGCAGCAAAGTCAGAGGGTTTCGAACGCCGCAGGGGGTACAAATATTACGCGGCCCTGCAACCGTTATTAGGGTCCACAGGAATTTGGACCCCCGGGATAGGTCCTGATGTCCTCATTCTTTCGGGACGCCATAGTATTAGTATCCCCCTGAAAGTCACGTACTATGAGCATGAGCACGACCCAAGACGAACCCTCACCCGTGTGCTCGCAGTAGCGAGTCAAACGCCCAGAGGCTGTATTGCACGTCCAGCTTGTAGTCTCGGTTGAGCCGGTCGACCTCCATCACGCACAGAGAGTGCAGCCTGGGCAGCACTACGGACTGCGTGAAAGGGACAGAAAGAGTTGCGGCGTTTCGTCCGACATTGCATGTGGCTATCGTTTTGAATAAAACGTGCACTCTCCTAGGATTGGAAATTCCCGAAAAGTTCCCGATAATTTCCAGGGTTTCTAACCCTACACTCACCTGGGGCCAGCACACGCTGTCGATGTACGCCGCGATGAACTGGCTCCCTATCCACCAGTCCTGGACACTAAGGGTCTCCAGGCAGGTGGCGTCCTGAAGGATGCCAAAGAGCCATCCCAGCTGAATGTCTACCACCTGGAGGTGTCTCAGCTGCCGCACAAGGTCGACGATAAGGCTTCTTGTCCACAATTCGATGCGATTGTCTCCCCAACCGCGACCAACCTCCACCTTCAGTTTGAGTCTATGGTAGAGAAGGAAGGTATAACCGTTAGTTATCGGTGCTGTCGTCGACGAGATCCGCGGATATGCGAGTTCCTTACCCGCCGACGCCTTCGATGAGTACACGGCTGACGTCACACAACGTCCACCACACTTCCGAGAACTCCAAGGCGTCGACCGGTGGCGCGACCGGCAGCAGTGCCAGGACATCCTCGACGCTCTCGAACAGGTCCTCCCCTCGCCAAAGCTGACTGTGGGCCCTGGTCAGCGCGCCCAGCCGCGCGGCCGCCAGCCCGGCGGAGCCCAGGTCCTTGATGGACAGGAGGGAGAGCACCCGCAGCAGCGGCACGTCGGGCAGCAACAGGAGCGTCTGCGGTACAATAACGATATCGGTCGTGACAGTATCAAAAACGTTATTGTTCTGAGACCGATAACGCGAAACCATCTCAAGAGGAAAGTTCCTCATATCGACAACACAGCGAAAAACCCTAACATGTTTTTCGTTTTGTAAATCGACAAAAATATGGCAACCCGGTGCTTTCATTCTCACCATCTGCCCTCGTTCGTCCATGGCAGTGGCCGCTCCGTTCGAAACATGAGATGGTTTGGTCGTCATCTTTAACCTGCCTCCACCGACCAGCCAAACGGGCGGGAGTCTGTGTGCACTGAGCCCGTCCCGAGCCGGTCAACGGTCAACGATGGCGACCTAACCCCAAAATAGAAATGCAAACTTATATTTTGCTACCGACGATCTCGTTGTCTCGTAAGCTCGCTGACAGCGGTGGCCGCACTGATCACTTTTACCCCGACTGACGTACCGCAAATAAGTGGTGAGGTGAGGAGAAAGACTGCCAAACCAGTGTCAAAGAAACAACAGACCCATATTCGACTGCACCGCACCGCGCTCTGACTCTGACGAGAAGTGACTGCTCAGCTTCGACGCTTCGACCCGGGAGCCCTACAGACCGCGGCGTCCTCGCCCCCGTGAGAAAAATAAATCAGCTCGGTGACGAATTGATATTGAGACGGTCAAAATATGTGTCGATGGCAGGGACCACTTTGATATTAAAATTCGACACGAAAACCGACGGTTTTCTGTTAGCGGTGTCGATCAGATGTCAGTCACAGAGCCCAGTGAGGAGGGGGGGGGGGAGAAACGAAACTGTTTAATCTTCCCGTAATGACGGGTCAGATGTCTAATTTATTAACAATTTTTAGTTACACGGGTGTTGGCGGGTCAGCCGTATGGACGTATATCTCTACGTCACCTGACGCCGCACCACCTCGGACGCTGACCACGACGAGCCGGTGTAGAAGCAGCAGCGCAGGGCGGCGGCCTCGGTGGCCTCGGCGCACAGCGCGCAGCCGTCGGCCTCGGCCAGGGGGTGCGCGAAGAGCAGCCCGCAGCAGACCGGGTCTCGGTCGCAGTCGCACACGAGTCTCAGCACCACGTGCAGGGACTGGTACCCGGCCCGCATCACCAGGTCGTCCAGCACCGGCACCACCTCCCCCGCCATGTCCGCGTACTCCTCGGTTGCTGCTCAACAAGGATGCGGGTCTCATGACCAATATCGTTGCCAGAAAATGGCCAGTTTCGTCAGGAATCACCCCGAAACCGACAAGTTTCTTAAATTTTACATCGTTTCGATATCGCGTCAATTTTAACTTCTCATTGGGTCAGTGCCTTACCTTTGGCCTTCAACAGATAATCGTAACAGTGATTCGACTTCGGAAAGTAGCTGGCGACGACGAGCAGCTCCAGGGCGGGCATGGCGGTCGCGCAAATGTCCTCGAGCACATCGAGCGGCGGCGTACCGCGCAGGACGAAGAGGACGAGCGAGCGCAGGCGCTCGAAGACGGCGTCCTCGCGGAGCAGGCCGTTGAACTGGGAGGGCGCCTGCACGACGAGGTGCTCGAGGCTGTCCGTCAGCTCCCCCGCGTCCAGGACGGCCTCCAACGGGTCATCGCGCAGACCCACGAGCTCGAGGCGGTCGAGGCGGCCCGGCCACGACCTCAGCAGGTCCTCCACCTGAGGAAATGTCGGGTCCAGGAGACAGTCTCGGAGTCTCGGGGACTGTCGAAAAAATAAAGTCACGTGGCTTACCTCCTCATATAGGGCGTCTTCAGGCGTGGGTGGCATCTCTATCCTGAGCTCCTTCAGCCCGCTGAGCGGTCGCAGCTTCGCGGCCAACCCAACGTCGGCCACCACGTCCAAGCGGCGGAGGTTGTCGGAGCAGTCGTCCAGAAGCGGCATGAGTTGTTTCGTGCTCAGTGTCACACAGCGCAGCTGCTCACTGCGAGAGAGACATAGGTTCTAACACTCGCGAGGTGACAACGTTCCGATCAGTAATGACATTTCAAACGATATCGAAACGATATCAGGCTAATAGCGAAATGATATCAGGATGATAGCGGAACAATATTAAGCTGATATCGAAACGATATGAACCAGATACCGAAACGTCATCGACATGATATCGAAACGATTCGACGTGATTTCGGAACGATGTCGGTTTGACAGCGGCGAAAATCGTTTTAAACAGCACTTCTTCGCTGGGGTGGCCGGTGGCCTACCTGTGCGCTCGCAGCAGCGAACTGAACGCCTTCATCCCTCTCTTCATCTCCAGGTCAAAGTAGGCCCCGTAGAGAATGGACACCCTCACTGAGTGCAGCTTGGGCAGTGGCGCCGCCTGTGGGACAAGAGCGTGGTAGTTGGTGATGCGCAGGGTCGGGGCCAGGCCGAACCACCTACTTTACCTCAACGTCAGCTGAAGTTGAAACGACGTGTCGTCACGGCGCACTCACCTCCTGCGGCCACAGCACGGTGGTTCCCCTCTCCAGCTGCCAGTGCCAGACGTGCAGCGTCTCCAGGCAGCGGGCGTTCCGGAGGCCGTCGAAGAGCCACCCGAGGTCCGGCTCCGACAGGTCGAGGTGCTTCACCTGCGGGCCGATGAGCTTCCGCAGGAGGCGGGCTCTCTGGGCGTTCCTCGGACCCCGGGCCCGGGCCGGACTCGTATCCAGGGTCAGTGTCAACCTGCTGCAAGCAGGGTAGAGTAGAACTTCCGGTTACCGAGCGAGTCTGTCGTTTGACCGAAGAGACAACGTAGTATCTGAGAAAATAAGGGTGCTGCTAAGCACCTGTTCAAGTAGTGCTAAATTCAGGCCCTTTGTGGGCTGCGAGAGCCTTTATCGACAGACGCTTAAAGCTTTCGTTTCCCCCAGTGTCCTGCGAAACCCACCTGGGACTCCTGAAACGCCCAGACACGTCGCCGTCGGTTCCGCTATTTGTTTGCAGCGTGTGGACTGGCGCGATCTGCAGCAGGGCCAGGAACCCCTCCGCGTCCTTGACGTGGACGCTCACGTCCCCGTCGCCGTTCCAGAACGGCCGGTCTCGGTGCGTCCGCGTGCTCGTCAGCTCGCCCAGCCGGGGCACGGCCTGGACGGCGGCCAGCAGGTCCTTGAACGGCAGGAAGGAGAGCATCCTGAGGAGCGCCAGGTCGGGGAGGTCGGGTAGCAGCGGCGGCGTCGGCTGCGCGGGCAGCATCGTGTGTTAGTTTGAGGAGACAGGCAATCGCCCCCCCCCCTCCCACAAAAAATATAATAAAAAAAAAAAATTGCATCGCACTTGATTTTTCTTGTACGTGCTTGATTCATTTAAGGACAATGCGCTACTTCTAAGAAAAAAATTTAAGCAGCTTGTTACAATACCAATATGCTCTCAAAACACGCGCACATTGTACTTAACAAAATCAAGCACTTGAAAAATCAACTGCACGCTTCCTGGGTATAAACGCTAGCAGGGCAACAACGGTGGTAGTTCTTACCTGTTTCTCGCATTCATTCCAGGCCTTTGTCATCTCGTCCCACTCCCTGACCGGACATTTACCTTCGCCAGATGCTAAGAACCAAATGACTTCTTTCTCTGTCTCTGTCAGTTCGACCGATATCTTTACCGGTGTGGTCGTCATTTCTTTTCTGCTACCGCGGGAGGAGGGAGGCATCGGGTCGAAAGCCTAACCCCAAAAAGAAACGGAAAACAAAACCGACAAGTCAAACGGCTGGATGTCTTAAATGTTTCCTTTCCACATCCGAGAATGCGGCAAGGAGCCAAAGTTGCGCCCACTGTCACGTCCTACGCACTGTAAATAGTGATGAGAAGCAGCAAGAAGATGTCACTACCCTGTGTCAACAAACGCGTCGGACTCGCTCGGGCCAGTGAGCATGGCCGCTTCGGGCCGACCCGAGGGCGATCGGCTTTTCTACACCCCCACTCCACTACCCCGTTTAGTTTTGGCCGGTAGATTCAGTGGTTGGCGCTCTTAGTGTACGATGAATCAGTAATTTTGTCGTAATCTTTATGAAAGGAAAATTATTTTGATTCAATAGCTACTTTCAAGAAAAATCCTTGTTTTAAGGAAACGATTGTCAGGGTACGAACACTCAGAAGCTGATGATTGGACCAGTTGCACATTCGTGCTTCAATCTTCTTTTCTTTCGAAACATACACACTAAAAATCTTATTAACCTTTTTGTTCATAGCTTACTGAATTCTCATGCTCAGCTTAGGCATTTTATAATACGCCAGTGCGAACAAATTTGTTGATACTGACGTCATAAAAAATTCGTAAGCTGAGCATGTTGACAGATTTCATTAAGCTATGAACGAACTAGTTCATAATATTTTAGTGAGTGTGTTTGTCTTAACTTGACAGCCCTTCCTCATTCTGTGAGGATCGCAATTTAGATTCCCCCGTCCTCCGACAGGTAAATGAGGAGTCCCGCTGCGCAGTAGTATGGGTGCCTCCGCACCGCGGACGCATCCAGCAGCGCCGTCACACCCGTCGCGCCGCCCCGTCACGGGCGTGGTCACGGTGTGGTCATGCGGCGGTCACGGCCACGGCCAGGGTCGCGACGCGTGACGGCAGTGACGGGGACAGCACGGCCGTGCAGGTCGCGACGCCGCCAGCGTCGCCAGTTAGCGCGCCGACGTGGCCCGCGACGCCAACCCGAACGACACGAGACGTTGTCGCCGATCGCTCCGGACCGCAAGCAGCAGCGACCCTTACCGTTCGATTTAGGGTGGTGTGATCCCGGACGCGTGTCGGCGATCGCGCCGTCGACGAGGTGCTCGTGTTCGTCGGCGTGCTGCCGAGGCCGAGGTGATGCCGTGAGCGGGCGCCGCCGGGCCGCGGCCTACAGCCCCATGGCGCCCTGGCCGGGAGGGTAGCGCTATGCCGTGCCGGCGTCGCCACCCCGGGCGCCGCCGCCCCTTCGCAACGCCGCCGCCGTTCACCGCCGCCGTCACCGCCGCAAGGTCGCCGAGATGGTCGCGGCGGCTGTCGCCGAGGCTGGCGCTGGCCGCCGCGCTGTCGCTGCTCGGCCCGGGGCTGGCCATCGGCGCGCTGCTGCACGTCAACGACATCCTCAGCGCCGACCTGCTGCCGGGGACGCTCTTCCTGCGCGAGCAGCAGCCCGTCAACGCCACCCTGGCGGAGCCCAGCGCGCCGCCCTCTTCGCTGCCCCTGCGCGCCGCGGGCCACGGCAGCAGGCCGCGCGCGGGCAACTGGAGCGACGCCTTCCTCACGATGAACTTCCACAGGTGACGATCAGACTATCTCCCCGATATCGCCCCGATGTCCCTCCGATATCGCTCCGATATCGCTCCGATATCGCTCCGATATCACTCCGGCATCGTTGCTCAACGCTGTGCCTCCCGCAGGCGCATGATGAACGAGTACCTGTGCCGGAGCTACGTCGCGGAGCAGATCCTGGGGGACATGACGGGCGACGGCGACGAGGGCCCGGCCAGCGCCGCCGCGCTCACGTCCTCGGCGCCCCAGCGGCGCATCAGCAGCACCCTGGTCGTGGATAAGGAGGCCGTCGGCAGCCTCCCCGGCCAGGACGCCGCCGACGAGCTCGGGGAGAGGTAAGTGACGAACGCTCCACTCTCGGGCGTATAAGTTCGACGTATGAGTGGTTGTGTGTGTGTGTGTGTGTGTGTGTGTGTGTGTGTGTGTGTGTGTGTGTGTGTGTGTGTGTGTGTGTGCCTGCCAGTGTGTGTGCGGGTGTGCCTCTCACGCCAATGCAAAGCCCACCTTCCCACAATGGCTCGCTGTATCGCGATACCTCTCTCCTTTCCCACGCCGCCCGCAGGAGCGCCGCGGCGGCCAACGGCTCCGACGCGGACCCGGCCGGCGTCCCGGCGGCGGACGGCGAGGAGGGCGCGCGGCGTCGCGGCGCCGACGAGGCGCGCAGCAACCTGCCGGCGTTCCGGAGGAAGGCGGCCGCGGTGACGTCGGCGCCGGTCGGCGCCCGGGTGGACGACGACCCCCGTCCGAGGCGGCGCCGGCGAAGGCGCCGGCGGCGGAAGCGACGGCGCCGGAAGCGGCCCGGGTACCGTCTGCCGGGCGCCGACCGCACCGACGCCAAGGACAGCATGCTCGCCGACGAGGGGTCCTCGGCCTACAAGGACTGGCTGGCCAGAACCACCCTGCTCGAGGACATATACCGCCACTACGACAACATCGCGCAGGCCTCCGTCCAGCCCGAGAGCATCGTGTCGCCGCAGGACATGGCGACCTTTGAGGGCGGCGAGGTGAGGGCCAGGTGACATGGGGGTGTGCGTCAACGAACTGGACGCCAACTGTGACATGAAAGTGTTGGACTTTCGGTCGATATGCCCGACTGATCAACCGTTTCATGTTACTATGAAAGAGGTTCTTTGTAAAGTGCAATTTTCTTAACAATCCTCTTCTCTGCAGGTGACGGGGTTCGCGCTGACGCACGCCTCCAGCGCACCCAGCCCGGCCATCGCGCCCGCCTCCTTCAACCTGCCGGTGTCCGTGCCGGTGCAGCACGCCGGGCTGCCCAGCCTGCACCCGGGGCTCAACCTGGCCTCCTCCATCAACAGCTTCGCCTCGCCGGCGCTGCCGCCCGCGCTGCCGGCCGCGCCCGCGTACGGCATCGGAGGTGAGCCCGGCGCGCGGCCGCGGAGGTTGGGCTGCCTACCTCAACGGCGTCTCACTTGGTCTCCTCCTTTCCAGAGGACAGGAACCCGTTCGAGTACAGCGGCGGCGGCGGCGAGTACCTCGAAGACCACCACGGCCACCACGAGCACCACGAGCACCACGAGCATCACGAGCACCACGAGCACCCCGAGTACGAGCACCACCACGAGGTGCACGAGAAGGGGCACGGCAAGATGCTGTCCATCAAGGACCTGTTCGACCTCGTCCTCACGGCCATCGCCTTCCTGGCCTTCGGCGCGTTCTCCATCCACCTCATCATGTACCTCATGATGATCCCGGTACGCGAGACGCGAGAACTCAAGGTGATAGTATCCGGTCTGCGGGGAAAGAAAGTGGCCAGTTTTCCGGAACCATGAAGTAAAGAGGGATTTTCACTCCTATGTCCCGCAGAGTTTTTCCGAGTTCCTATAGAAGGGTTGCTAAGACTGTTCCTTCTACAGAACAACAACAACATGATGATGATGGAGATGACTCCGGGCACGGGGGGAGGCGACGGCGGCAACGACAACGGCGCCGGCGAGGCGGAGGGCGGTCGGAGGCGGCGGCGCGCGGCCCGGGTGTCGCCCGGCGCGGCCCGCCCCGCCCAGGCCGTGTCCGTCGAGGTGCTGAACCGCGCGGCGCAGCGGGTGCTCGCCTCCATCGACGCCGCCATGCTGGTGTACCAGGGCCCCCGCCGGCGACCCGCCGGCCGGTCGCTCGGGGTCGCCGCCGAGGAGCCGGTCGCGGACCACCGGGACTGCCTGCACCGGGCGCTCTGCAGGCACAACCGCTTCTCCAGGACAGTGGAGGGGCCCTTCAGGCTGTGGCTGCCCATCTGGAGGTGAGAAAAGCTCGCGTTATACTGGAGGAAAAGTTGAAAAAGTGGGGATACATGGAAAACAAAAATTTCTTTTATACTCGTGGAATGTAAGTTGAATACCATAATGTTGACACCCACCATGCCCATGTCGTTGTAGTGTCGGGCTGAGCTGGGTGGCTGGCCGCCTGGCCCCGGGGGCGTCGACGCCGGCCTCGGCCACCCTGGACAACCTGCGGGCCTCGCTGCTGGGGCTGGGCAACGCCCGCTGCGCCGCCATCTTCCCGCGGTGCGTGGGCGCCCCGCACGCGCAGCGCCACGAGGAGCCCGACGGCCCGCTGCCGCCCCCCGGGGCCCGGCCGACGGGGCGCCCTACCGCCCCCGACCAAGCCACGGCCGCCCCCGCGACGGCCGCCCCCGCCACGGCCGCCCCCGCAGGGCCGCCACCGGGGATCATCCACCCCGCGTTCAGCAACCTGCCCAAGATCATCACCAAACGGCCGCTGGCGGCCCCCGCGGCCCCCGCGGCCCCCGTCGGCCCCGAGGCCCCGCCGCGCTTCACCGCCATCGGCGTCAAGACCAACAAGGGCAGGCGGAGGCACCGCGTCCGCGGCGGGCCGCACTCCAGCGCGCGCACGCGCCCGCAGCCCGCGCACGGCCAGGGCTGACCAGCGAACACTCTATTCACGCTTCACTTTAACTTTAATAAATAGGGTTATTACGACGACGGCTTGTTCAACTGAACCGAAGACGTAATAATATTTCCCGGGCGGACCATGCAGGCCAGACGGCCGCAGCTGTAACGAAATGTACAAAGAAAATTGTAAAAAAAAACCAACAAAGTTTACTTGCCATATAAACAAATATATCCTTCTCTTTTATGGGTTAGAAAAGTGAGGCTTCTTACGCAGCATCTCACGGGGAAAACGGGTGTCTGTGTATAGGAATGGGTAGAGGGGGAAATCTGCTAGGTATACTGCGCAGCCTGTAAATAAAGATGTAAATCATCAACACCATTTCTTGTTGTTGCTTCTTTTAATTTTAACATTTTCCGCTTCATCAATGAAATTAATAAAATTCCCAACATTTTTTACAGTGTTGCCAGAGGTGGGGTATCCGCGTGCCACATAAATGCGGAAGACGCCTTTTGTTAATCTCTTCTGCTAGAACTTAATGAAAGCCAC